GTGATTTTCCTCCTGCAGGTCAGAGCTGCAGCCAGCTGTTGAGCTTTGTTCACCTTCCTGCTGGTCACTTATTAATATTTATGGCGCGAGCTGTAAAGTGAACTGAGGACAGTTTACGGTGATGAAGGTCTGATGATAGTTTTATTATTTAAAGTCTCTGAATGCTTGTTCTGTATCAGCCCGTGCACATCTCCTATCTTTGTTCAGAGGRTCCCCGGGGTGCACTGGAAGTCACAGGGTCAGTATCTCCTCTGTTTGCCTCTGAGCTCACTAACGCTGTATTTAATTAGGCCTCTAATCAGCCACTGAACACACAATAAAATGAGACAATCTGTATCTGTTTACCTCCCTTTCAGCACTCTGACACACATAGTCTGCATATTTGCATGTATAGTTCRTTTAAAAAAAATCATTATCAGAGAGAAAGATCAAGGTCATGACTCCTCTTCACACTTGATTCTCTGAAACCAATTAAACTGTCGGTCGGTGAAGTTCAGCTGGAGGACACTCAGCGGAAACAATAACATGACAGCTTCTGGCCGGGTTTTCTTCCAGCAGTAATTATGTTTGCAGATTCTGTCAGRAATATTCAGAAGAGAGAAAAGTTTTGCAATCGGATGTAAACAATCAAAACGTTCTTCTGACTCAAATAATTAGAGTTTAAAGCCTCGTGATGTGAAGTTTTGATTCTGACCGGTGGTGAAAACATCAAAAGACACACAATTTAAAATGAGTCTTGTCTCAGACAGTTATTAGTGTGCATTTTGTGTTGGTTTATGTTAAGATCTTCGGGTCTGTGTCTAGAAATGATGCTAAATGATCACTTCGTCACAGTCTCCCGTCCTGAGCAGCACGCTGGTGATAGTGGAGAGGAAAAACTCCCTTTTAACAGGAAGAAACCTGCAGCAGAACCAGAACCAGGCTCAGCAGGTGGCCATCTGCCTCGAGCGGCTGGGTTTAAGGGACAGGAAGAGACGCTGTAGGAACATGAGCCCTGTGCATTTATGTTCCTGACGTCAAGCATGGATTTAATTTTCCAACTATCAGAGGATGTGTGTCATCTCGTGAAAACTCTTTTTCTTCCTCCGACTACATGCAATCACAGACCCCTGAACTCGTCTCGATGGTAACAAAGGGTCTGGACCCTCAAACAACCCTCTTATCTGATGAGTTGTCCTGTCGGCGTTAAGGCGCCCAACTTTCTGTGAAACTCTGAATAATCACAGAACTCATAAAAACAACTGAATTACTCTTGCTTCATTCTTTATTATTGTGTGCACATCGTATTGTTCCATGACTTTAAATGTGTTTGCTTAATCAGAGGTCTTATTTGCTTCTTTTATTTCAGACAGTAAGATGCTGTTAAAATCATGTTACAGACGCTGATTAGTTGTGATAGTAAAGTACTGAGAAGTTAGATTTCAAAGTTTACACTTTTTTTAGGTTCAAACATTCCTTGGTCATTTTTCAGGAAGAGCAGAAGAGAAATCTGTCTTTCTCTCATTGGTTAGTTCATCTAAACATGGTCCCTATTACAGGACCAAGTCATTAAACTGTCCTAATCTGTCATTATAAACCTTAGTACCTTAGTAGCTCTCTCTCTCTCTCTCTCTCTCTCTCTCTCTCTCTCTCTCTCTCTCCTCAGTTTTGTCTCGGTCTTGGTTGAGTCAGAGTTGGTAACGTCCACCCTTCAGCTCCTCCTGCCTGGGTCAGCGACCGCACACGTTAGTGGGAAGAACCTGCTGACGGTTGGATCCTTGCTTGCTCATCATGGTTTGTTCTGGGTTATTAACAGATAAACCTGGTATTCAACAGTACTTTTGTTTTGCTTTATCATTTGAGTAAAACTTTAATCCTTATTTACTTTCAGTTWGTCAGTTTRAGGTTTTCTCTCCTCTTCGTCCACAGTGATCTAAAATATAAACCTGTATTTTAGACCTTACAATATTTCCTCACTTACTCTCATTACCATGCCATTACTGAAACTATCAAGCTCAGAAATAATTTGTATATAGTTTGTAAATATCCACTTCTGTAATAAGACCAATGTATCCTAATTCTTGTGTGTTTCAAWGGGTCAAACTGTGTTATGAACTGAGATTCCAATGCATAAATCTGAAATAAGGCTAAATAAACTAGAGCTATGAGTGATTTAAACACAACACAGAGTACTAAATATTACWGTTCTTATTTATGTATTGAAAGTGTTTGCTTAAAATACAAAAGGGTTGGTCAAAATGTAAACCGCTCACTGTGCATATTTTGAGCAATAAGAAGGAAAAAAGGGGATCCCAAACTGATTATAATATTATAAGTTGAATATCTAAAGTATGAGGAAACATTTAATTTTTAAAATTATTGCAATGAATTTCCTAACATACGAAGGCGCAGAAGAAAAGACAAATCTATGAAGAAGGTTAATAAAGGGTTTCTATGAGCTGCTGGTCTCTGAATCTATGGCCTCAACAAMCTCACATCCAGATTACACAAAGTTTCTTTGAAAAATACAGTTTACCTGCAAACCAGCATTCTTGACTAAGTTATGTGCCCTAAATGTGATAATTAGTTTGTAAAACTAATAACTAAAAATATAAACGTCTTAAAACCATGAGAATTAATTATGGTAATGTATTTTATTTAGGTCTTAAAACACAAAATCAGACTTGACGCTCCACAGCGGTGAACATGCACCTCTTCACATTTATGCAAAAAATAAAAAAATAAAATAAAAAACTACTGGCACTATTATTTTTTTAGGTTATTACCTTAATTCATTTCTTTAAAAATAACAAAAAATAAAATCTAATAAATTTGAAAATGACCATGTATTTGTCACAAAGCAACATTTTCTTTGTTTTGACAAAATTTCTCATGCATGAACCATTTTACTATTTCCAGCTAAATATATATAGACTAAATATGTTGCTGTAAATATGTAATGTAATATGTTATAAACATGATGCTTTAATGTTTAATCCTCAGGAAATAAACGTTTTATTTCTGTGGAGTTCGTTAAAATAAAACGTTAGCGTCTCTGTCAGTGTCTCCATCCAAACAAGAATAAACAAGCATGTTTGGTGTTTTCACAGCCTCGTGGGACGTGTTCCCATGTGGACTGACCACTCTGCAGCTGAGAGAAACGCRCYGACTTACTGTTCCGCACATGCAATAATCAGAATTTCTCTTTCAAGGCAAAAAGCGGGGAATGACAGCAGACTTATTATTTTATTGCCTTTTGCCAGCTGGGGCRCTGCACAGGGACAGGGTGTATCAGTGCAAAGGCGTGCACATGAGTGAGTGTGTGTTTACATGTAATCTGTGCGTCCAGCCTTATTTGCATGCGTGTGTGCCTGGCCATGTGCCATATGAATGGAGAGGCACAGTGGACCAGAACAGAGCTCTGACAGTAGCAGGGCTGCTGCTCGCTGATGCCTGCCCAGAGGAGCTCACAGGAGTCTGGCCTGTCAGTCACAGAGCATGCCCAGTAGCTCCCTGTTCACATTAGACTATCTTGTTAAATCTAAATATGTCTGGATATGGTTTATGTAGCCTTTGTATGAGTGTTTCTCTCTTTTTCTCTTTCATGTTACTGTCTTCACAACTTCAGATGAAAAAAAAAAAAAACGAGACAATGTGAAAAGCCGCAACGTAAAAGAAGCATATACTGAACAAGTTGTGTGATTCTGCTGAAGCAGTCTGAGCAGCAGATTTAATGAGCTCGTGTCAAAGCAAAGCTATTCAGTACAAAATAATTTATACTACAAATGAAGTACTTTGCTGGTACCTCATAGACATGTTTCCTTTCAAAAAGATTAGTTTCATTGAATCTACTTTCATCTCCAAAATATGTATATTTCAACAGTTTCCGTGATGATTTAAGGACAAAGTGAACAAAAATTCTCACTCAGTTATCTCCTGTCGCCCATAATGGAAGTTTGCTAACGAGAGAGGGACTTCTGATTGGTTCCCTGCTGCTCTGTGGAGAGGCTGAGTCCTCTAGCTTTGTCAACAGAGCCTCAGTGCACTGCAGAGACAGCATGGCTGCACTATATAAAAGTGAAGTTATATGTGAGGCTTTYATTAATGAGGGGGTGAGATAKAATGTGTTTCTGTGTGAGACACTRAAATCATTATATCAAATTAATACTCAATACTTGATCATGTATTTATCATACCTAGGCTGGACTATTGTAGATGGTTGCACAGTCTGGTTCTGATGGAAGTTTCTTCCTGTTAAAAGATAWTTTTTTCAAGATGGTGATCCAATGCAGTCTGCTGGCTCATTTTCTTAGACAGATAATTTTTATTAACTGCCACTCTATAATGCACGTATGTGAATGTTTTTGTAGAGTAACCTGAGACAAAATTTGTTTACACTATACATAAAGTGAACTGAAGTGATTTGAAACATTACACTGATCAAACAAAATTACATAATCTTTCAACCACACTGTAAATATGTTTTGTCTACATGTAGTTTCAAAATGCTAAATGGGAGGGGTTGAAATTTTTTAAAATAAAAATAATAAACTGAATTTTAATTACCAAGTGACTGATATTATTAAACTTTGTGCTTTAAATAAATTGACTAGACTTCATCTAAGGAACAACAAGGAAATGAGAATTTAATACCAAACTCTTTAACTCAGCAGTTTAGAATGACCAATATGGGTTTGTGTTACCATTTACAAAAAGATAAAAATAAAATAAAAACTTCTTCTTCTTCTTCTTCTTCTTCTTCTTCTTCTTCTTCTTCTTCTTCTTCTTCTTCTTCTTCTTCTTATTATTATTATTATTATTATTATTATTATTATTATTTGCTTCTTCAATTTGCAGTAAATAAAAATGCAAAGTGCTTCCAGGAAAAATCTAATTACAATTTACAGTACAATTGTCTCCATTCTGAACAAAGAACTACAATCCCCATAATGCTTTGCGTTTAAAGGACGCCGAACGGAAGTTGATAGTTGCTGTAGGACGATTGTGCGACTTTCACGGCGCCAACGTAGCTTCCACTTTCAGACGACTGCACTATGTTTAGTCAGCTTTTCTAACAAAATGAGTGCGTTATTTTCGTTATTATTATCATTTTAAATAATAAGAATTACCAGTTTATTCCGTAATGTCAATCCGTAATTAATAATTTTAACGTGCTATAATAAAAATAGACAGTTCAGCTGATAAGATAACATGACTTCTGCCAGCTTCTATATGAGACAAGGTTTGTCAGTATGTGCTTTTATTTTTTTATTTGTGTAACATTTTTTATCTAATTTTATTTCATTAGGTTCGGCTCGTGGTTTGCTGTAGAATATTATGGTTTTCGCATTGTCTGACCGGTTCATGAAGGCAACACTAGATAAACGACTGGAACGCTTTTGCTGGCTGGAATATCCGGATAAAGTCACAGGAAAGAAGCTCCTCATGAATGGATATATTGATCTACGCTTACCGTAATTGTAATCTTGTGTTTTGTTGTCGTAAATGTTCAGTCTTTTAAAGCGAAAGCTAACACTTCATGTTATGACAGCTCAGCTTCCAGGCTAGCAGCTAACGCTAGCTTACACGGACATCACTGATAGGAGGAAGCTCACTTTTCTCCGGTATTTATTCTGCTTATAGTCATATTAGAGTTTTACTACCCAGAGATAAAGTAAACGACACCAAGATGTTCTTTAGAACAATAATTTAAAGATAATTAAAGTTGACGTACTTTTATTTACGAAAAGGAACGCTGAGACGGTGAGGGCTAGTTTTCCTCCGATAAAACCAATGAATCTAATCTTTATAAGGTCACAAGTTAAACTTCACCTCTTATTCAATATCTAAACTGATAAACAGCCATGACAAAAGACAAGTCTGCTTTTATTTATAAGCAGTAATTTATCTCTTTATCCAGTTTTGAGAGAATATTTTACAGACCTGTAGAATTAGTCACATTTCATGCCCTGTTAATTAACACATCACACTATATTCAACAAGTATGCTGTTAGCTCAGTTTAAATTTAAGCTAAAATGATAGCTAACAATGCCACTATTAACAGTCTGCAAATACAGTACAATCAGGAAAGGTTTGAAAAAGGACTATGTAGTTTTAGTTAATTTGGGGTTCTGGTTTTTACAGTGAGATTAGTTTAATCCGAAGAGTCTATGAAATGCAGATTAGTTCTTCTCTAACTAAAATCAATGTATCAATTCATGCATAGATTGTTTTCCATCAATTTTGGGAGATACATTTTACAAATCTGCGTTTCTTTTCAGATCTACAGTTTTGATTACACAAATAAAAAATATCAAGTCTTTTTATTTACTGAATGCATGTCGTGGCATTACCTACAGTTTGAAAAAATATTTATTGACTACATTTTGTGACATTTTTTACATGACAGTTTAAACAAGCGCTTAAGGCACAAGGGCTTCTTGTAGATTTGACTTTTTTCAGTTTGTGTTGTGGCTGATGAAAATGGCATCTGCTAAATTGAACTTACAGTCAGCATGTTGTTTATTAGAAGTCTGTGTCTTAATCCAAATGCACGCCATACACAGCCCGCAGAACTAGATTATCCTTAATGGTAGGATATTTTTTATCTTGAATCACATAAATGCTTTTAAAATGAGTATTCCAGCTCTGGCTAAACAGCCTGTTTTTGATGGCAATGTTTTGTTGACTATATTTTGTGTTCATTTAAGATTTTTATGAGTTTGTCCACGACTTTCGCAACACATTTTATTTAACTAAAAACGTTACAGCAGCATAACTAGTTTTCGATTACATAAAGTATTTAAATAGATTTATTCGATTGTTTTGTTGTGTGGTGCTTCAGACTTGACGCTTTGCTTTTCTCACTCCTGTACATGTTTGTTTCTGCCTAACTCACAGGGCATGCATGCAGCCGGGCTTCTAACTGCACTTTGTACATCCTCAACCCTTCAAACAATGTGCTAGTTGGAGGCTCTTCCTCTGCCTAGGCGCTGCTTCTTCCCCCCAACCCCATCAACCTCGGAGTTCCCTATGTTAACCCTCTTGAGCATGTTTTACTATATATGTCTGCGGCGGCGCTCAAGGAGCGGGACTCGAGGGGAGGCTCTGACCAGTCGGCGCGCCGTGGAGTCTGGTCAGCGGGCCGTGCTGCCAGTCAGTGTGGAGGTGAAGCAGTACGCCAAGGAGGTCCTGGATTTCAGTTCCCACTATGGCAGTGAGAACAGCATGTCGTACACCATGTGGAACTTGGCAGGGGTGCCCAACGTTTACCCCAGTTCAGGGGACTTTACTCAGACAGCTGTATTCAGAGCCTACGGAACGTGGTGGGAACAGTGCGCCAGTGCTCCGCTACCTTTTCGCCGCACCCCAAATGACTTCTACAGCCAGGATTAYATTGAGCTGGGCTTCGAAGAGCCGGTCTACCCCACAGCAGTGGAGGTGTTTGAGACCTACTACCCTGGAGCCATTGTACAGATCCTGGCCTGCTCTCACAATCCACTCTCGCAGAATCCGCCCACTGATGTCAGGTAATAGTCCTTTAGGTTTCTTTTTGTTTTTAAAAACAACTGTATAATACCAACATTAGGGAGCAGTACGCAGGGAGGCACACAGTAGGGATGGTTTATGAGAGGGCTATCCAGCTGGCAACATCCTGACTCACTCCAGCCCACTGATGAATTCATTTAAAAAAACATAGATTTTAAATCAGAAAAAAAATCCATAAGAGAAATCTTTAAAATATCTGAAATAACAAATACTTCAATCAGAGAGGTGATACTGTTATATGGAGGATCTATAACAGTCTGTAAACGAGTTTATTAACAAACAACCATAGATTTAAACTTCTTAATAAAAYTGGCATATTAACAATAACTTAGGATGTCCGACCCCTGAGCTGTTGGCTTTAGGTAACTGTGGTCCCCTTAAGCAATTGATTTGAATAGTCCTGGTTTATAGTTTTTTATTTATTTTTTATTGTTTGTATCCATCTATTTTCTTATGCTTCTGCTTTGTATCTCCAGCGGTCATTATGCAACAGGCAGCTGCACACTGAACAGGTTGCAGGTCCATATCAGGGTCACAATGCTCTCACTTTCACCTAGTGCCAATTTAGAGTACTTTGTATGTTTACTTATTGTAACTTAGGATTTCTCAAATAACAGAATAAACTTACAACATTGAGTAAAAGTTGAGAAGGATTCTGTTATTTAACGTTTTTGTGATTAGGTTTTATTAAAAAGTACAGTGTTTTAGTGACACTCTATTGATATTTGTTACGGACTAAAATTCAAATCCAAGAAGCCCACCTGATCTCATTTAGAGTGCACAAATATCAATTTAACAGCTTAAAAAAATCAGTAATAAGCCTTTTTTTCTATTTTTTTTAGGTGGGAAGTGTTGTGGTCAGGTGAGCCCAACAAAGCACCAACTCCCCAGGCTCGACAGTTTTCCCCAAAAATCAAGCATATCAACTTCCCAACCAATCTGCTGCGCCTGGAGGTCAACAGCTCATTTCTGGACTACTACACTGAGCTGGATGCTGTCATCCTGCGGGGTGTGAAGGAAAGACCCATGCTGGCTCTTTATAAAATGCCCCTCATTGACATAAGTGACCTGAGTGACAGTGAGGAGGAGCTGTCTGACATCGGAGCTCCTTTCAAGCAAGGAGGAGACGGCAAGCATCAGAAAACAGGCAATGGCTACTTTGACAAACTGCCATATGAGGTGAGTACAAACCTTACAACGGTACTGAAAACCACCTGTGTTTGCYTCAGAAACACAATGTAGCTGTAACTGTCTGCTGACAGTTTGCACACAGCTTATTAACAGGGCTCTAGAGTGTGACCAATTTGGTCGCAAATGCGACCTGATTTCCTAATAACGCGACTAAAAAAAATGTCCGGTCGCACTGGTGCAACCGAGGGGGAGGGGGAGCGGTCGCCCGCTGAAAAAAAAGTTTCCATGTTCCATAAAAAATAATCCAGCTGTATCAATGGTTGCCCGCCGACAGTCTTCATCTCTCCTAATAACAGCACTCTGCTCACGGGCTGGCTCTGCTCCACACCTCCCACGCACACACGTTTGCTGTTCTATCCTCATGGGGACTTTGCATTGGCTTCCATTCATTTCCCCGTCAATTCTATAGCCAACCATAACCTCCCAGGTAG